TATTATATTATATTATATTTATACGTATAACATATTTATACTTTACATAATAATATAGCCTATAATATACTTTATATAAAAATATATTATAGTATATAATATCTACATAGAGACGTTATTTCCGGGTCCAATACATTGGTTTTCGTGCACGTCAGTAAGTCATTGACAGATTTGAAGCATATTTACATTACTTCTTTTATTCTATTTATTCTAATAATTATAATTATTAAATAATTCTGTTGATTATTTATTCTATTCTATTCTATCTTTTATTCTTCCTCTATTTTTTTCTGCCCTTTTTAATTATTTATAAATTCATTAAAAAAACGACTAATAAAATGTATATTTTACACTTTATATTATAATCACATTGCACTTGAATAAAGTTAAAAGTGTAATCTGCCGATTGTCCTGCAGGTGACCGCATAAATCTGTCTTCTTACGATGCACTGAGAGCTTTACGATTACTCCAGAGCACTCGTAGATCGACGATGATTTTCAAGGGCTACTTAAGTCACGATGCTTTTGGGAAACAGACCGTAATATTAAGATCAGTCGTACGATCGTTTTTACGAACTTCTTAGGCTTACGAAGCTTTTGGGAAACTCAGCCCTGAACTTTAGACCACCAAAAGAATAGCTACAGATTTCAAGAAAAAAGGAAAGAAAAAAGCACATTAAGTGAAGCAACGGGACACTTTGTTCTTTGTCTGTAGGCAAAATTTGCCCTTCAAAGGTGAAGGTAAATCATCCAGGGCTGCGTTTCTCGATAACGATTGATTTGAGAGCTTAAGGGCGTTTTCTGCGAGTCATTTTACGATCGTTCGTTATTGTTTCCCAAAAATGCGCTTAACGCAATCGCACGTAGACGTGCTTTAAGTGCTACTTAAGTTACGATGCTTTTGGGAAACAGACCGTAATATTAAGATCAGTCGTACGATCGTTTTTACGCAACTTCTTAGGCTTACGAAGCTTTTGGGAAACGCAGCCCAGGTCTGTTAGCATATACTGAGATGAAACGGCCGTTTGTTTTTTTTCTATGTGCATCTCCAAGTTTTCTTTTTATTTCTGTGTAGAAAAGACATAGAAAGGAACGGTTCACCAAAAAATTTGCTAGAATTGTACTCACCGTCTGACCATCCAAGATACAGAAATATAAGCATCAGCAAAGGTTCTACTGTCAAGTCATGCATAACTATTAGCTCTGGCCAATCACAGCTTGACACTTGGAGTATATAAGTACTGACTTTTCTCTTTTACTATTGTAGTTTATGACGATGATGTTCCACTCCATCCTCCCCACCCCCACCAGTATATAAACTGAGAATTCCATGGACCAGAATACACAATTACATATAAGCTTACCCTATCCTTCGTCTGTGTGTGTCTCAAGAATCTCAGGTGTCAGTTGTATCTTAAGACTGCAATCTAAAGTGCTGTTTTCCTTTTCATGCTGCTTCCTTTTGTTCACACCGGATGTGGTACATATCTCAGCTTACAGGATGTGTGTGGGCATGTGTGCAAAGTTCAACTACATATAATGCTTGTCATAAAACAGAAATAATCGTAATTTGCACTGCAAAAAAAAGACTGTTTTTAATATATTATATCAGTATAGTATTATACATAATATGGGTGTTATTTGGAGTAACCATTTTTGTCTTTAGGAAATATAACATGCCTGAAAATTAACAGAAAAAAAAACATTACACTTTTCCCTATAAATTTCAATAAATACAATTTCATCAGCATAGAAAATACAAATATCATGTTTATATATCTAACCTTATAAAAACTGCATCACATCTTCACACTAAAGCTATTTAAAGCTTGTGGAACTCTTTACTAAAATGTTATTTTAATATAATATATTAAAATTATATCTTTACTCTAGTTAATAATGTTAAATATATTATAATATAATTGTGCTATTTGTCTAGTGACAATACAATTAGAGCAGTGGTCTCAAACTCAATTCCTGGAGGGCCAGTTGGAGCTCCAACTCACACCTGCTTGGAAGTTTCTAGTGATCCTGAAGACCTTGATTAGCTGGATCAGTTGTGTTTGATTAGGGTTGGAGCAAAACTGTGCAGAGCTGTGGCCCTCCAGGAACTGAGTTTGAGAACACTGAATTAAAGATATAAAAAATTTGCAATTTTAAGAATTTGATTTCTTTGAGTGATGTATTGATAATAAGAATTCACATTTTTTACTAGCAAAAAATGAATTCCTGTTAGATAAGCTCAGTCACTACAAACTTACTGTTGTGGTCACACAAACAAATAGGCTACATTTTTACAATTACACTTTTGCAATTCTGTTTGGTGCCACTGGAGGGACAGTAATTATACACAGTTTCTCAAAAAAAGTGCATGCATCTCCACATTCTCATTTGTTTAAGACGTGATTTGAGATTAATGTTGTTTTTTAATTGTTATTTTGTTTTACCCTACCCTGTTCAGATCAAGATAAAGTGGCATGATAAAATTTCTTCTAAATACAGGACACAGCCGTTTTTTTTAAAGGGGTCATATGATGCTGCTAAAAAGAACATTATTTGGTGTATTTGGTGTAATGAAACATTTGCAGTTTAAAGTAAAAAAAAACATTATTTTCCACATACTGTACATTATTGTTTCTCCTCTATGCTCCGCCTTTTTGAAACGCATCCATTTTTACAAAGCTCATCGGTCTGAAAAGCAAGGTGTGCTGTGATTGGCCAGCTATCCAGTGCGTTGTGATTGGCTGAATACCTCAAGCGTGTGACGGAAATGTTACGCCCCTCACCATACTGTTGATGCCGTGTCCGGCCGGAGCGACAAAAACATTAAAACCCATTATAAACTAGGCATTTGTTGCATCCAGTGGGGACATAATTACTGATTATAATGACTTATACTGTCTTTTTACGCGTTGCGTTGCATCGCCTCCTAAATATCTACAGCGGATCTAAATATTTATAATTAATTATAACTAGTTATGATTAATTATTCATATTTCCCCATGAGCTGATTCGCTACATTTCTTTGGGTGAACATTTGGGCGGCGTTATGCAAATCTTCCCACATAGTGACGTAGACATGTGGGGGTGTGTTCGAACGAGCCGTTTTAGGTAGGCGTGGTTAACTCTTAACTTTTATAAAGAATATCTCTTTGGATTTGAGACTTTAGTCTTTTCAACCGTTTCAACTCTTCTTTATGCACCAAGAGCTTGTAACACTCCAAAGAGAAAGGAAAAATTGAAATCACATCATATGACCCCTTTAAGTACTGTTTTGGCACCAGTACTTTTACTTGTAATTCAGTATTATTTCAGCAATGTAACAGTACTTGTACTTGAGTACAAATTTTCAGTACTTTTTCCACCACTGCAAAATACACACAGTAGTTCAAATGCTGAGTGATATCTTACAAAGGTGTGATTTTTATATAGTTTATTGTCTTGACCATGGTGATCATACGTAGACAGGCTTGCACAAATAAAACTGTAAAAAAAAAAAAAGAGCATTGTACAGCTCAATGTTCAGCGGCGGCTGTCACAGCTGAACGGTGCTCTGTATGATCGGTCTGAGTCCTTCAAATGCAGCCTTTGATATAGTTAGCAAAAATGTGTTAATATTCTGATATAAATGTTGTTAGTTTCATTTTCAAAATAATCAGTAGTGGACTGTAAGGAAATGCACATTCATTAAGTATTCTTGTACAAATGTGAAGTACTAAGTTTTCTTTTTTCCTCACAGGACAGCAACACAAAAATATGTTTTTTACAACATGATGCATTGTTGTAGATTAAACTACCCAACAGTATATGAAGTAGGGAACTTTAAATGTAATAACCTTAAACATATTCAGAAGTAAACTGCAACATACTGTACACAGTAGTGCAGCAGTAATATTAATGTAAAACCATCCTGACTAATTCTTTTTCAGATCAATACTGTACATACCTTTACTTTTACTCATAATACCTTAAGTATATTAGAGTATGCAAGATAATACTTTTACTTAAAGGATAGTTCAGCCAAAAATATACATTCTGTAATCATTTACTCACCCTCAAGTTGTTCCAGGTTTGGAATTTTCATTTTTGGTGAACTATCCCTTTAGCTAAGGTTATAAATATGACTAGTAGTTTTTCCCCAATGTGGTACTAGTAGTTACTAAAAGTAGTTTACTAAAGTACATCAAGATATTTCTTCTACTAATTATGTTGTCATAGCTCTAAACAGTTTCTCTTTTCCTTCTTTCCCTACATCAGAACAGACCCCTATACTGCAGGATAAAGCTGAATGTGCCAGCGCTGGACAGGTTTTTAATGGTTTTCGGCTGAGCAGGGAGGCCCTGACAGTGCTGCTGGATCTTCTGAGAAGTGAACGGCAGCACGGATGGGGTGCTACAATCCAGATCCAGGTGTTTCTTTTCTGTCTGGCCAGTGGTACATCATACAGAGTGGTCTCCGGAGTGTTTGACATACCTCGTTCCACTGTCCACCGCATTATCCTCCGAGTCGCTGAGGAGGTGCTGGCCATTCACCAAGAGATTCACCTCCTGAAGACCCCAGAACACATGGAGGCTGGGGTGGGCTTAGAATTGATGTTTTTTTTCTGATGTTAAACCTAAGCTATGTTGTAAATAGTCGTAAAAATTACTTTCAGTAATGTATAGAATTATTTGTTTTAATGTTTAAAAAATATATATTTACAGGACAAAAAAATAAACATATAGAACAATGTTTTGTGAAAAAATTATAAGCTGCATTAAAAAATTTAACAATGTACATAATTACTTATTTTATTTACACATGTGAATATGCAAAACAAAAATACAAAATTCCTTCTCAGATGAAGACCGCGAGGGTTTAGGGTGCCATTTGGAACAGGGCCTTCGTCGCACCACAGTAACGCAATCACACTTCAAATGCGCACTTCGAAGTCCGTGCACTTCACTTGAGATGGTCCTCACTGCAGAACACAAGATCCAGGGGGCGTGGTTGGATCCAGATCCAACTCCTGACCTCCCACCTTACATACACCTAAACCCTCCCATCTCCACCCCTAAACCTACCTATCTCCACCCCCTAGATGTGGATCCATCCACGCCCCCTGGATCTTGTGTTCTGCAGTGAGGGGCTAGCCTACTGCTTCACTTTGGGACACAGCTATAGGTTGTGTTCCAGTCCGTTTTTTATGCCCTTCACTCGCAAAATTCCCTCCATCTCGTTTAATCGGATGTACATCATTGATTACGTTGCATGAGTGCCCACTTCTGGCAGAACCTTTGCAATTGGCTGAGCTGGAATGTCCTAAGCCCTTGATCACTTAGAATCTGCTATAGAGTTGGTTTATTGTTTACATTTTTCCCCTTACGAATTTGTTTGGTGCAGCATTCTATATGTATATAGGTATTTTTGGGCTATTATAAATGTTTAAAAAAAAAAAGTATTATAGTTTGGGGTGGGGATAAATTAAATGCGATCTGCGATGAAACCATAGTCGTGTTGCATTGTGGTCTACAGAGCAGCCTGAAGTGTGCATATGAAGAAGACTCGCTCCCTCGGTCAAAATCGAGGGGTCGAGGGTATGTCCATGTAAACTTCCTCCTCCACTTGACTGAGTGGAACTCACTTTAAAATGGAGGCGGGGATTCCCCCGAGGGTAAGTACTTAGGGAAGTTCCTGTGTGCTTGTCTTAAAGGGGTCATATGATGCAATTTCAATTTTTCCTTTCTCTTTGGAGTGTTACAAGCTCTTGGTGCATAAAGAAGATCTGTAAAGTTGCAAAGACTAAAGTCTCAAATCCAAAGAGATATTCTTTATAAATGTTACGAGTCAGCCAGTTACGAGCCAGCCACACCTACCTAAAACGGCTTGTTCTAACACGCCCCACACGATGTGGGAAGATTTGCATAACGCCGCCCAAATGTTCACGCAAAGAAAGAAGGCATAACTTTTATTCTCGCTGTAGTATTGTTGCCACCGCCGCCATGGCGTGAAGGCGCTGTGTGATTCGTTGTGAAAGCGAAATTACTTTGTTTGGCCTTCCAAAAGAGG